CTTAAAAGAAAATCCTTGATAAATATGAATTCACTATTTTCAATAAAAAAAGATTCCAATTTACTCCAAGCCTTATAGTGATCATCAGTTGGAGAATCTTTCATTTGTAAATAATTATGCAGAATTTTGAATGAATCTTCTATTTCATTCTTGGAAGGTTAATAAATAATTTCATCCACCATACCCTCATCATTACTTTCCTTTCCGCTTAAAATCGAATTCACTAATTCAGAGCTATAATGCTCAATAGTGTCGTTATCTGTAGGAAAGCTTGATGTAGATCATCAAGCTCAATATAATCGTTAAGAGAAGCATTGGAAGTTAAACCACGCTGCCAGCGACTTGGATTTGCACCAAAAAGCAACATAATAAAAAAATTAAACATTTGATTTAAATAAAGGGACTTCCCCTGATACCAAAATGTATTATTGATATCTGATATCCTCCTGGTACCTTCCCACATTATTATTGACACGTGACAATATTTTCAGTTCGAATTATAGAAACTTCGAGTTATAGAAGTTCGTGTTATGGAAGCAGAATTGTATGTGATTTGCTCCCTAAAACCTTATTGGACTCGTTTCAGTTCGAGTTATAAAAAATTCGAGTTAAACGAGTTCAAGTTATAGAAGTCTGACTGTATATATGTATATATATATAAAAGAAAATGTTTGGATTTAAAATAACTATTGACAATAGGTATGATATCTTCGAAACACGTCAAGGTAAGAAATTCCATAGTAAAGATGAGCATTAATATAAATTGGAAGCATTTTGTTGTTAAAAAAAATATTCCTTAGAAACTAAAAAAATCCTTTCATAGCAATTTACAAATCAATCCTAACTTACAGAGCAGAAATCTGGGGTTTCGTATGATTTGAAGATCTTTTGCAAATCGAATATATAAGCCGTATTAGTAAGAACATAAATATACATCACATTATGTCACTGCACTGAAAACAGACTTATAAAGAACGCCATTTCTATACTTTTAACCTATATCTGCAATATATCAGGAATGCTCTTTTTGAATATAATATCACAAAACTACCTTACTAGATTATGCCGGCGATTCTAAGCATCTACTTAAGCACATTTTATTATCGTATAAAATCCACTTTTAATTTTTAGCAAAGTCTGAAATACTCTTTAGGGTGAGTTCTTGGAGCTAGCTAAGATCCACAAGCATGCCTCTTTTATAGTTAATAAGTAAACAGTGAACAGTCGGAACATTTTTCGACACTAAATTTTTCCTATGACAAATCTGCATATCATTAAATTCTTAGTGACATTCTTTTAAAACTTCATTTTGGAGTAAACCTCTATTTGCTCTTTTTAATGCAACTTAATTTCAAATAAATTTTACCATTTTTATGTATATAAATTTACTCTTTCAGTTTAATGTTAAAACGAGCTTATAACCAAATTCTTAGATTTTTCATTTAATATTTGAGAAACATATCACAAATCACAAGGCGATAAACATTGTCTTTAATGACGAATCATGAAATCAAATTCAATGTATTAAATTTAATTTATTTGTTCATTTACTTCGCTCAACAAAATCAATGATGAGAATAAGCCGCAGGTGAGGAATCTTCGCAAACTAAAATTAATTACATTTCTGTTACTAATTTCCATAAAGACAACAAAAGCCCTCATTGAGGTTGAGGTTTTGGCCTGAAGGTAAAGGTTACAATTAAAACGATGATGGTTCGAAGAATGAAGTAAGTTTAAAGGAACAATCAACAAAGCATTGACTATCGTCAGCCAAAGGCAATTACAACCCAATCATGATTTTATTGTAATTGTTTTTACCTTAAATATATAAAATTAATTGCACCGTTTAATAGATAATTACAATTACATTTAATTTTTTTTTTTAATTTAATAGAATTTCGGCTTCATTAGTGTCCCTGATATTATTTGTTACCTTCTTAAAAACACAAATATAATCAATTTAAGTAGCCAAGTTTAACCAAATTCATTTCAACAAAGACAACATAAAACATCAAAAATTCTATTCCCTTAATTTATGTAAAAATAAACCTTTTCTCTATTCGGTAATTACACAATTTATCTACGCATTATTTTGTCTGTCATTCATTTCTCAATTAACCGCAGTAATCAAAATAAATTATATTGACCACAAAATTAACGAAAATTGGAAGATTTGCCAAATATGCCTTTAATAACATCTCATAACATGCAAACATGGAACACGCAACTTCTAGGAAGCCTGCCAACTTGGGGCTTATACACTTTAACGAAATTCGTCTAAAAACAACAAAAAGTTCATTAAGTTTCCAAAGTCAAGTAGAGCATAACTTTCCGTAAATTATGTGGTTTTTCTGTACGTCTTCCAGGCAATAACAACAGATAAAATAGCCCCAAGAAATATTCAACACGCATTTTGCCACATTAAGTAGAATTATACGTTGTACTCCTTA